GTCATGTTTTGATGGTGTCCCGGTCCTGTTGTGATGGTGTCCTGGTCATGTTTTGGGGGTGTGCCGGGCCGGTTATGTTTTGATGGTGTCCCGGTCATGTTGTGATTGTGTCCCAGTCATGTTGTGACGGTGTCCCAGTCATGTTGTGATGGTGTCTCGCTCTTGTTGTGACGGTGTCCCGGTCATGTTTTGATGGTGTCCCGGTCACCTTGTGATGGTGTCCCGGTTATGTTGTGATGGTGTCCCAATCGTGTTGTGACGGTGTCTCGGTCATGTTTTGATGGGTGTCTCGGTCATGTTTTGATGGTGTCCAAGGAAGAGATGTTTGTCCCGGTTTGTATCTTGCTATTGGGGTCTCCAGCCGGGCTAATTTTAGAGAATGCGACGTTGCCGTATAGATCTTGCACGGGCAGAAGAAGGAAAATTAAGCTGCCAGTGTCTTTCGGAGTGGAGCTGGGACAAACAGCTCTCGCAGCCGCCCGATCTTCTTAGGTATGTCTGAGAAAAGTAGAGCGCTTTGACCGTCCGTGCACCACTTTATAAGTGGTAGGGGAGCCCGGCAAAAGGTAGGCTCGCCGGGACAACTTGGCTGGTGGATGGAGTTTGGCGTCCTAGGCGGCGTCGTCCTCCGGGTGGTGCACCTATGAAGGTGTCGCATGGGGTACAACATGGTGGACACCCTGAAGGAGATCGTCCAGTCCGTTGCCGCCAGGGCCTAGAGAGCAGGGGTGGATCGGCTGATCCTTGGTTGCTGCGCTCGCTTGGTTGCGGGGACGCGATGAACCAGGACCGTGGGATTGGACGGGGTGGCCGTCTTCGTGGCAGTGGTCATGGCGACCGAGTTCATGGGAGGGGTGGCGTGAGGCGTCTTAAGGTGACCCTGGTGGCGCTGCCATGGCAGCGCGCGCATCCTCGCAAGCCAAACTGAGGGCCCTGAAGCAGGCCCATGGATACTTCAAGAAAACGAACCCCATGTTCAACCTGATCAGAAAGAGCGGCTCCGGAAGTTGATGCAGGAGAACCCTCCGCCCTGACCGCGTCGACTTCAGTATCAGTATCGACCCTGTCCACCTCTTCCATTTCTCCACCTGAGGGAGAGCGCGCAGCTATGCCTGCGGTGCTTGAACGGATGATGAAAGACCAACAACAGAAGCCGGCTGGTCGAGTCGAGCATATATGGCTGCCGTGTGTTCAGTGGAAGGGCAATGAGTTTGTCACATTAAATTGGTCAATGGTTCGGATGATCTGTTAGCAGCTCGTATGGTAGTCGGTTTAGGTTGTTTGCGAACTGTTGCCGGGGTTCGTTGGGTTGTCGAGGAGATCGCTCGCTGCAAACAAGCCGGTCAACGTGTCATGATCGCTCGCGCTTAGGATTATTTTCGTTTTGGAGACGGTGCTCGACGACCATGGAGTTCCGGCGCAGGCAAGTTTGATTTACTCAGGTTGGGGGTCAAAGCGCAACATGTGTCGAGTTCGCGTGAAGGCCATTTTGTTTTGCGTATTGATGAGTTTCTTGTTGGCCTGAATGGAAACAGTTGCTTGAGCAGGGACATCAACCAAAAATTCGAGGGGACGAGTAACAAATGTTTGAGATGCGTCATGGACTGCGCGCTTCAACAGCCGGCTCAAGCACCTGGTGATCGTTCCTCCCACAAGCAAGCCCTGGCCAGTCAGCCCACCGCGCTTCATCCTGTTTGCCATGGATCGTGCTGGGCGGACAAGGCAGAGCAGCCGCTGGATGTGGTGTGCCCAGCCAGGAGGCTCTGGAAGCGCTAGGTGCCAGACTGGGGAGAAGAAGACGAAGAACTGTGGGACAAGCCGACCATGAACCGCAAGATGCATCAAGGAACTCGACTGGATGAATCGATGCACTCAGCTTCCGGGCAGCAGCGAGCGGGGGGAGGTGATGGTCGGGTGAAGGGCAAGAGTCTCCACAGCAAGAAGGAACAGAAGTTGGAGATCACCGGACTGAAGGCCGACCGGACTCACAGTCAGGGTGCGGTGTTCAACATGAGCTGGGTCCTGCGTGGCCGCTTGCTAACACACACGTGGAAGCAACTCCTATGGCTGCCGCGGGCCGAAGTGGCGATGGAAGCCTTCCGCTGACCTTGGCGCCGTCGCCCTCGCTGGATGGTGGGGATGTTTGCCAAGGAGGTAGCGGCCATTTGGGCCGCTCGGGCCGCTCTTGATGAAGTGACTGAGTTGGGTGAGCCACAGAGCAATACAGGGGGGACAGCGCATTTTGATACAGCAGCGGACACCTTGGAAGCGTGGTCAGAGTCAACAAGGCCTCAAGAGTATCAAAACTGTGTTGGATCATTTGGCCACGGTTGCTAAATCTGTGTTGCTGGAAAGTATAGAGATTTTTGGTAGTAGCGCAGCACTTTCCCTTGTAGCCCGTTCAACTGGCCAGTGGATCGCCTTGGAGCCCGTGGATCTAGTGTATGGACAAGATCTTTTGGACCCCAAAGAACGTCGTGCTGTTTTCTCTCAAATTGAAGCGCGGGAACCTGATTTGGTTTGTTTGGAACCCGCGTGGGCCTTGCGTGGTCATCCCTTCAGAACATCAACGCACAAGATATAGTGGAGCTGAAACGCGCGCTGCATATGCGCATATGCCTTCTTGGGAGTTTTCTGCGCAAGTGTGGCATTTACAAAACAAAGCAGGTCGGTTGGTTTTGTTGGAACAGCCATTGTTGAGTGCAGCTTTGCGTTTACCATGCATGTCGTCGCGTGACAATGTTCATCGAGCTGTGGTAGACCAGTGCATGTTTGAGCTTAAAGACCCAGTGACACTCGAATTGTACAGGAAGAGAACCGTGCTTGATGTCAATTCTCCTGTTTTGGCTGCACCCTTGACGAAGGGGTCTAAATGTTCGCGTCACCCCTGTCACCATGAGATCATCGAGGGGAAAACCGTGATGGACGGCAAGCGGGTGAACCGCTCATTGGTGGCAGGCACTTGGACTCCAGCGTTTGGCCGGCGCATCTTGGCCGACCTTAGCCAATGCTGGTGGATGGCAGCGTCGTCACTTAGGGCATCTGTCTTTTTTCACTCGTCTCGATGAGCCGGATGCTTCAGCCATGTTTTTGCAGGTGCCTCTCCAAGAGATGCTGTGTGCAACAATAGATTGCTTTGCTCGAGCTGATGTGTGGTGCTGCCAATGCCGCATTGGATGGTGCTCAACTTGTCACGCAGGTCATGTGTGTGTGTGATCCGCAGCCCGAATTAGGACAGGTGGACGCCCATTTGACCTTAGCGGCCTCCACTGGGGATGCTGACATGGCGCGCCTTGACCAAGGTGGCGGGGGTGAGGAAACGAAAGCAGAACTTGCCATCAAGCAGCTCTTCAAGAAGTTGCAATGGGAAGAAGAGGAAAGAAACGGTTATTTCAGTGGCATTGATAGCCGGCTGCATTTTGTGGATCCCTCCTTGCGGATTTCCAAAACCATCCGCAACCAGGTAGCCCAAACTACATGGTACCCTGGGGCATCCCTCTCAAGAGCGCCTGCGACGCGTGTTGACAATCAACGGTGCCAACAAGGAAGTCATTCAGGCTTCGAGGGATTTGAGGTGTGAGATCTGCTCCAGGATCCACCCACCTGTGTCGGCTCCCAAGTCAGCGGCAACGACGCCAGAGAGGTTTAACCAGCGGACTTTTTTTTTGTGCTGGATAGTGAAGGCCGACGCTGAAACGTCACCAAATGGTGGACAGGTTTTGCTCGCTGCAGTAGTACGCACCCCTCCGCAGTGCCTTGGCTATGGCTGTTCAAGCCAAGCAGGCTGAGCCGTCGACGTGGGTGGTCGCTGCTCCAGGGAGCGACGCGGTGGTGCCTTCCTCTCTGGTTGAACAAGTAGATCGTGCTGAGATCAAGTTGGCCAATAGCCAGATCATAGAGCGTGGGGAGCAGGCCATGATGGAACGGCTTTGCAAGGAGGCAGTTGCTGCCTTTCATCACCAAGGCTTTGGTATTTGGAGCTGGTCGCTATGGCCACTGTTCACGTAGATGATGTTCTGATGGCTGGTGGTGATGTGGCTGAGCCGTTATGGGACGGAACTTCAAAAGAGACTGACTTTTGGCAGTTGGTCACCAATGGGCGATGGACTCAAATTCCTAGGGCGACATCTGCAGCAAGATCTCAACGCCATGGAGATTGTGACTTCCATGGCAGAGTATTGTGCTGACCTGTCGGAGGTAGACGTTCCACGACATGAGTCCGATGATCGCCCTTTGACAGAATCTGAGGTGGGCATTCTCAGATCCATCAATGGCAAGTTGAGTTGGGCCGCTCGTCAAAGCAGACCAGATGTTCTGTTTTTAGTGTTCCTCCTCCAACAAAGTGATCAAACAATTGAAGAAAGATCAACCCTTGCGTTTTGTGTCTTTGGGCTGCTCCTTGGGTGAAGTCTTGTTTGTGGTGGCCAGCGACGGTGCCTGTAAAACCACGCCTGAGGGAAAATCGCAGCAAGGCTGGATAGTCGGCGTGGCTCATCCCAGCATCAAGCGCGGGATGGCAAAGATGAACTTGGTGGAGTGGCAGAGCAGTGAGGTCGTCTGTGGCCATAGAGGCTAGTGCAGCCTCAATGGGTTTTGAGCACGGGCAGATTTGGCAAGAGGATTGTCAGGTCCGTCGATGGGGCCATCCTGTGAGAAGGTGGGAATTGCTTTTGGTCTTGGACGCCAAGACTGCATACGCTAAGAGGTCGAGTGCAGTTCTTCGATAGGCAGACGGAGAGAGCCTATCGAAGAACTGCGCTCGACCTCTTAGCGATCAAGGAATCGCTTCTGGATGAGAGCCGTTAGGTCCCCGGTCCACAGCAAATGTGCAAGCTCAAAGAGAACGGCAGCGAGAGAACCAAAAGGCCTACAAGGCGAAAGTGCGAGCTGATCGCATTGTATGCTCCCGGTGAGTTGAAACGGGAACTCACCTTCGTTCGTTCATCCATTTCACTTGCTCTCGCAGCCGCCCGATCTTCTCAGGTATAGTATGTCCCGGAAAAATAGAGCGCTTTGACCGTCCGTGCGCCACTTTATGTGAATCCGACTCGATACATTTATATTATAGAATCCGATGCCAGGATTCCAATCTGACCCAGTTTGGGCTTCCGAGAATCCGATCAAGTGTCACTGATTCAACCCGCGCTCCCTGTTGTCATCATCGCAGTGGTTGTTGCCTTCTTAGTCGTCTTCGTTGTTTTCAAACAGTTGCCTACAAACCTTGCATGGTTCTACAATGCCTCGTTTCAGACAAGGTGCTTGGAAGCCACCGCCTTTTGTGTTTTGGGTGAGCAGACTTGCTCTTTGCCTTTTGACGAGGAGAAGGGCAGTTGTCCTTTTGTAACGGCCATATGTTTCCGTAAAAATCTAGAAACCACATCAATAGTACGAGCGCTTCCTCAAGGAAGCTCCCCCGCCCTGGGGGGAGGTTTTCTTGAAGAAGCGTGAACTAACCTGCGTCCTTGTGTAGCAGCTCGAGTAGCTAAGAGCGAACTTCTGCCTTACTTACTTATATAAAATTAAGTATAGGCGCCTACGTTTCTTTGGTTTGTAAAAGCACGACCTCGCAGGAATTGGAATTTGTTTTAGACCTGGGAGATGCAAAACCTCGCTGGAGCCAAGTGAAGGTTTGCTTCACTGTTTGGGATGAAGTGGTGCTTCGCACCGCCCGAAACGCGTTCTTTGGTCAAACATGGCTTCCTTCCCTCACAGAGCTTGGAGGGGAACCCCAAACGCTGGAGCTTCCTCTACTGCGATCAGAGGGTGAGGTCGTTGAGGTTGGTGACCTGTCACTGGAAGCGACTTGGCAATACCCTGCAGGCCCTGCATCTGACGAGTCGCAGGGTTGTTTGAGTCTCAGAAGGCTGGCTGTGGGTGGAATGAATGGGCCGGCATACTTGGTCGTGCGGGTGCTACATCAAAGCAGTCGAGGAATTGAAGGATGTGGCACCAGGCACTTAAATCTCAATATTGGTACAAAACCATCGCAAATAAAAGCTCAAAATCCAGCACGGCTGGACAGCAAGACGTGGCCTCCATTGAAAGTGGTCACACCAAGGCCTCCCAAGAGCCCACTTCGCTTTGTGGTGCCCAGCAGCTTGGTGAAACTTGGCCGACGACTGCGCTTTATCGGTTTTGATACTGCCCTTGTGGACAGTATCTCAGAGGCATCGGTCACGGCGGAGTCTGAGAAGCGAAAGATGATTTTATTGGAAGGCTCCCGAACGGGAGCGCTCGGCACTGTTTGCACAGTGCCTCGAAGCTCGTTGGAGATCCAGCTGCAGCACATCTTGGATCACTTTGGTATTTTGCTGGATCCTGCTTTGATGGCTTCACGCTGTGCAGAGTGCAACGCTGACAAGTTCCGACTAGCAAGCGCTTGGGAAGCTGCAAGTGAGTTGCATGCGAGCACAGTGGAGCGCTATTCAGCATCTCAGTTGCATGGAGTTTTGTTAGTTTGAGCAGTTATGCAGGCAATGCAAGCTTGCATTGGAAAAGCATTCTTGCCACTTAGAAGAGTATCCTCTACTTCACAAAGATGTTTCCAAAAGGGCCAGCTCAAAAATTAAATCTTGCGAAACGGAGGGTTGGCTGACAGGTCCGAATCTTCAACAAATCGGCAGGGTTTCTCAGTTCTCCATCCCTTATACAAGTTTCCCTAAAACCAAATCATTAGTGTGAGCGCTTCCCCCGCAGCCCTAAGGGGGAGCTTCCTTGAAGAAGCGAGCTATCCTGCGTCCTGTCGGTAGTAGCTACTTGCAGGTAGTAGCTACCTAGCTACTACTAGCTACCTACCTAGCTAACCTACCTCCTAGCGGCCTACCCGCCCTTAAGAAAAAAGAAACACAAACATCCAGACACCCCAAGACTCAAAAGGGTCAAAGACTCGATTCCTGCGTGATGAGATTGCGCGGCATGTTCACTTTTGCAAGATGTGTTCGGCGAAGTAGCAGGTTTTGTGAACTGATCAAGTGGGGTGTAAAATTGTTAGGCTTGGTAAAATGTTAAGTACTCACCACTATGTTCACCATGCTATGGCACAGTCTATTTTCACAACCGGGGATGGCCGCACGACTGGCGGAGTTTAATGATGAACATACGGCAGGGTATCACGACTGATGGGTTTCTTGATTGCAAAGTTCCTACCGCTGGTGGATGGTTGATTCGTATCGTTGGGTGTGAAGTGCTCAGCATTGGACATGGCTGCTTGCAGCTGGTATGGTTGGGGGATGAGCCTACGAGAGGTTCTAGGTGAAGGTTCTGAAGTTCAGATGAAGACTTCAGATGAGCATGTTGATCCCAGGTTCCCAAGATGTTGCGAAGGTTGCAAGGAAGGGTGTGAAGGTGCAAAGTTCCAAGCCTTCGGTGTAACCCCTATCCAATGGCATCCTCTACCAATGTGAGACAGTTAGACATGACATCCGATGTCATCTCTGTCAAAAAAACCAAGGAGTTCTGGCGCTGCTGCAACTGCCGCAAACTATATTGGGAGGGCGGTGCTTGGTGCCGTTCGATGCGCGCCCTAGGTTCCACGCCCTTGGGGCCTGACACTGGAAAAAGAGCGGACGGCATGCCATTTGCAAAATGGATAAACTGCCAGGTACAACAGAATTTCAAAGGTTTTGTTTTGGTTGAGCTGCGTTTGCGATTTTGCAATCCTCGTATTCAAGAGGACCCAAGTCAACATGTTTGCAAGGTGCTGCCTGCCTTTTTGCAGGCCCCGTAAAAGAATCGTTCAAAGCATTCAACGAAAGCAATTGAGGTGCAGAAAAAGTGAGCATTTGGTTGGCTAGGTGTTCCCTTTCCATTTTGTGGCTTTAGAACTATCCAGCAAGGGTGCAGTGCTTGGTTTGTCCTTCGAGGTTGATGTGAAGCCAATTCCATTTCAAGAGGACTTGGAAGATTTGGAGGACTGTAAACTCAAGCGTTTGGTGTCAAGGTTTGCTCGGCTCATGGAGCCGACAAAGAATTAAAGAGCAGCAATGGGCGTTCAGGATTTCACTTTAAGCGTAAGGCGTAAGACTTTTGACTCTTGCTGTCAAGCCACAACCAGCTAGATTCGGTCCTTTGCACAGCCATGTCGGTCCTTTCCAAGTTAACAGATTTCACAGCCTCGCCTTGCCATGCGAATGGCCGTTCACAGCCCGTGCAAGCGTTGCCTCACCCACCCCAGACAATTCAGCTTGGTCTCCACAACAAAGCACCCAGAAGTGCTTTTATATAGGTCGCCTACAAGCATTTGCTTCACTTTTCCTTCTTGATTTTATAGACTCTATAGACCTTGGCACAGACCATGCAAACTGCTACAGACCATGCAAACTGCTTCCCTGTCAGTGCCTGTCAGGCACAACCTGCAAGCCCTGAGTGCGGGCGCTAGCTGGGGACAATCACTGAAACGACAATTCCAATATGCTTGGAAACCGATGTTGCACTGAAGTTTGCAGAAAGTTCGAAGCTGTCCCTCAAGCTCATAAGCCAATTGCAGTTTCAACATTTGGCAAATTTTCAATCCACGTTTTTGGCCGTACCACCATGCCCAAATGCCGATGCCAAACTTTTGAGCGAGGCCACCTCCTTTGGCGCCGATGTCATCCCATTTTGCTGAGGACCTGCATGTCATGGTAAAGGGATGGAAAGAGCGTGGTGTAGGAGCATTTCCCAGGAAAAGGATATTGTGCGGGAGGCCATCGCTATTAGGTTCAGACTTTGCATTGGTGCACACCACTTGAGCTTGAAGAGCTCAGTTCGATCAACTGACATGTTTGGCCCGCAGGATCCCTCGCTGTCAGAAGCAAAGACAATGCCAAACACGATGCGTCCTAAAAAACATTTCTTGTATCAGGGTTTGAACCAGTTTACCTAGGCCTCAAGATGATGCAACTGCAGATCTAGAGCTGCTTCCCGAGTATTCGCATTTTGTTACTGTATATGATATGCACTGTTTGCTCCTTTTGAGCATTGTATATAAATATAATACATTATATAAATATGTATATCATAAGTAGGTTTAAACGCTATGCAGTTGCTCAGGAAGGAAGTGCCAGAGACGCGTGGACCTCGGAACTGTCCGATTCATTCTGCGCAGACGTGCACAGACACTCTTCTTTGCTTCCCGAAAGCTACATGCTACATAATTTTTGGTACCTGTTTGTGATGCAATTGTTCGGGCTGCAATACAGGGCCCTTGCTAGAACTACCCCAATCTGGTTTTTGTCGGACTTGGGCTTGGTGCAGCAATCTTGCAGCTTGCTCATTGTCGCTTCGAAGCCAGCAGCGATTGTTTGAACTTGCTTGCCGCGACTATTTTTCCAACCGGCCGAGTTGCGTGAAATTTGGCTTCCTGTGGCCAGGCAGGAACGTATGCTTCCCGGCCACACCGATGACACGTCTTCACCTTACTCGTTTCGTTGGCTTGGGTAGTTTACATTTTACTCTCATTTTACTCTCCAGAAATAAAGAGCCACCGTTCAACACAATTCAATACAGGCATTTAGTGCAAACAAGTGCATGTCTACATTCTTTTGTGTGTGTGTGTGGCGTAAACCAAACAGAGATTGAACGTCTACAGTCTACAGCATTGCCATTGGGATTGGCGTTTCTGGGGTGGTCACTTGGAGGCGTTGAATGTAGCTGTGCTATTGAGGTTTGCTCTTGAAGGGTTGCCTCGAAGTGTTTTCCTGACAAGTCTCAGCTAAAATTGGTTGTGAGTGATGTGGGTCAAGGATCAAAGTGTCGAAATCAGTCCAACTGTGTGTTGTACTGTACATGTTGGAGGTGTTTGGAGTCAGTTTTCGGGGCAGGTGCACGGAATCATGAGGTTGCTTGGGGCTGTGCCATTGAGATTGGTGTTTTCGGGGATCTCATGCGATGACATGCCTGCTTTGAAGACTTGATGTTTTGATGCGCGACTTTTGGAGGAACACTCATACGAAGCGCTCCTTTTGAAGACTTTGGTGCAGGTGACTATCTCTGTGCCACACGGATTGGCGTCAACTTAAACTGTGGCCAACTTGCTCGTTTTGGAGACTTGACATGTGACTTTTCAGGGAAGTCTCGAACGAAATCAATTGTTTGGAAAACTTCACGCGCCATCCTTCTGCTCATGTTGGAGACAGGACGTGTTGTGTTTGGTGGAAGCCTCGAACGAAAAGCTTGTTTGTCAAGCAAAGGTGCCCCACAAGATCCCACAAGAGTGTCCAAGAATGGCACAAAAGAGTGTTCTAGCGTCAGGGAAGAGTTCGGCACAAGAGTGCCTGTCAGCCAAAGTCTTCTTACAAGAGGTGCACGCAGCCTGAGGTATTCAAACTGCTTTGCTTTGCATTCCAGTTCGCGGGCTTCATCTTGTGTCTTTCCGTTGCTGTAACGAGAAAGATGCAGGCGACAAAGTGTAGAGGAAGAAAGACGCGCACGCATAGGTACATATCCGTGATTATACGCGGGCGCCACAAATATGTCATGTATTTGCAACCCTCCAAATTTTTCACAAGACAAGTAGTGGGAGTGTGTACAGCTTTACGGATGGACCAGCAGAGGTTGACATTTACAGGCATAGAATCATAGAGCGGTGTTTTCCACATATGATTTGCTTTCACGCAGAGTAGAGTATTCCCGCAGCAAGTAAAGGACAGGGATACATGCCAGAGCAAGCCGTTCTGGACCCACACCATCAGCTCAGTGGAAGATGAGGGTATAGAGCTTGCATTAATGTCATTTTCGACAATGTGTTCTTGAAATTGCAAATGAAGTTCTTCCACGGTGCGCACCTTTTGGAGGGCGCCATTTCATGCCCACGTGATTCCAAACGCGTAGACAAACATGTGAGTGCATATATTGACTAGCAACCCCCCTCAATCCCACATTGTGTGCACCGACTCGGTTTCCGGGTTCCTGCTCCTGGATGAACCCACACCTAACCTTGATGATACATGATGATACCACAGCATGATCGACCAGCGTCTAACCAGCCATAGTGGCAGACTCTTGCAGTCAACAAGTCGCCCCACAGCCGTGGCCGCCGCGCAAGCCAGTACAGAAGAGGCCGCAAGCCATCATGTTTGAGCTGCTAGTCACTCCCCTGTGCAGTCTCCTGCACCCTGCTGGCCCTTCCATTCCCAGTTGCGTTGTTTTGAACTCTCTTGCCACCATCAACCTCGACGACTGTTGTCCAAGACCTGCCGTTTCTTCAACTCATTGAGGTTCAATGCAAAGCTGTGTGTATAGTGGATGGTTGACTCAAATACAGAAGTGGCTTGTCAAGATGCAGTTGCATTTACCGTGCCCCGTTGTCCATATTGTGTGAGCATTCTGTCGTTTGCGACTCCCGTCGCATCCTTTCGGAACAGGGTCCTTGAGCACTTTACCATTGCAAAGCAGCTTCACACTTTCAGGGCATTTGCGTTCTATTTGTCATCGCAGAGATTTTTTCCTTGCGATTGAGATTGGTAGCAGCGTGGGGCACGATCTGCACGAATAAGATGGCTTCGCAATCCTCCAACTGTTTAGATGTTGGAACTTGCAGTGGCTCCCGCGGGCTAGACAGTGGCGTGGCTAAAGCGGCGCCGACTTCTAACGGCTGTTCGTCGCGAGCTGTTTAATTGCGCCTCCCGTGATTGTTTCGTTGATGAAGCAGGATTTGAGGGCTGAAGTAGCGGAAGAAATCGCCTGCAGATGGTAGTCTCACAGGTGGGGCCGCCGCAGTGTCAAGAAATTTGAGCCCTGTTGGGCAAAACTACGCGCAAACTGTTTTGAAAGGGCAAGCTTCACCTCGGGGGAACCAACCTTAGGATTTCACTACCTGATGGAAATGGAGGCGCCTTTCGATCTTACGATGTACTAGGTAAGTCCCCAATGGGTCCGAACGCAGATGGCCAGTTGCAATTTCACTAGGCGATGTTCGACAAATCGACTCAGAAGCCGTGCGTAAGCTAGCGGTCCGCTTCGCTAGCGTCCTCAAAGTCGACTTGTGGGCGGGCTTTCTGCGCATGGATCTTTCGAACTATCATCGCCGAAAACGTAAGAGGGTCACCACTCTTCCCGAACTTACGAAGCTCTTAGGATCCAGCGTCAACTTCGAGCAGTTTCCCCCCTGCCCTGCGCTAGCACAGTGTTTTCGAGAACGCCGCCTCAATGGACATCGAAGCCCGTGATGAGATTTCCACGCTTATCGGGCACTGTAAACCACGACGGCTCAATCCCGTGCGATCACCAGCCACGCCCGTTCGCGATACTACGCAGGTTGAGGCGCATCTCTGATTCAAACTAAACGTGGGCCGCGCTAGATGAAGCTCTCATGTGGCCGACAGTCTTTGTGGTCTGTCTGTCATTCTTTATATGCATCGCGCCACTCGCGCGAACTCAGATAATTCCCGTAAGCTGGCACCTTTTTCGGACATGGTGGAAAGGGGCTTGATTGCCGGGGGCTTGTGGGCCATTCACATCGGCTGCGCTCGGATGGTGGTATTCTTACATTCTGCGATACCAAAAAACGGCCTCACGCTACTGTATTTGACTTCCACAGACCGATTTGGAACTTCAGTGACTAAGCTTTTCGCGACACTCTGGAAGTCTTCAGATTCAGGTGGAGATCCAAAGAACTCTTTTAAGAGGCAGGTGGCAGAGCTGCAGGGTAGCTAGGATCCTATTTAATGTATGATGCTTTAGCAAGACTTATTCAGATGCGTCTGAATTCTTCTCAGCGGCAGCGCCTCGCACGCTATTTCTTTGAAGGCTGATGAGCCACGAGTGCACTGTCTGACCCTGTGTGGATTGCCGACGTCTGGAAGCGGTGGGAAAGACCCTGCCACTGGATCGAAACTGTTTCTCTGGGTTGATGCAAAGCATCAACAAGGCATGGCAGCAGAAAATGAAGCGATGACAGCTGTATATTGTCTCTAGAGACGGCTTGTCAGAACCGGGGCTGCTGGTGTATCACCCATTCCCGCCCTGCTCACTTTGGTGGGGCAAATTGAAAGTGAGGGGGTGGAAGCGCCGAGAAGGACCTTGGGCTGATGCAAGGTGTCAACAGACCGGCAGCGGAAAATGACCGTGAGTGATGGCAGAGCATGACCGGGGCCGTGGATCTGCCGGCGCCCAGCCGCCTTAGGAGTGCGCAACCAGAAAGAACGAAAAAGCAGATCAGAACGGAAACAGATAAAAAAAGAGAAAGAGCGAGGGAGGGAGGGAGGGAGGGAGCGAGGGAGGGAGGGAGCGAGGGAGGGAGGGGGCGAGGGAGGGAGGGAGCGAGGGAGGGAGAGAGAGAGAGAGGCAGAAACAAATAGAGAGGTCGTCGATTAGATAGAAACCTAGAAACCTTGAGCCGGAAGGCTGTGACAGAGCAAATGGGCATGGTGTAGAGAAGGAGCAGCAAAAGAGACTACAGGGGCATAGGCTGGCACGCGATTCCAAACATGTAGGGGCGTATCCCGAGTCGGTGGAGAGCCAACGCCGCTACAATTTCTTTGCTGTTTCCTTCTGCGCGCAGCGTCGCAGCAAGACAACCGAACTTCCTTGGACAGCAGCGCTTTTGGAGTTGTTGGCATTTGGATGACGAGAGGGCGGTGCGCAGTTCTTAAACTAGCGCCGTTTCTCAGGAGGAATGGTGCCCCTGCAGATCAAGCAGGAGCTGTCTAATGCGAGAGACTGTCGAATGTATCGTGGAGCCAGATCAGGACTGGGAGGAGAGCAAGATGGTTGAAGGTGATGCAGTAGATAATAATAGTAGATGATGGTGGTGTTGGTGAAGAGGCAATCTCGATGCAAAGACGTTGGTCTGGACGTCCTAGCAGTGAGTGGAGATGCCCCAAGGTGACAAAGAGAGGACTATTGCAGAGGTGTTTTGCCAAATCGAGCCACCAATGAGGAAGTGGGCCGCGAATCCGCGAACTCTTTAAGTCCACGAATGAATTGAGTGGTGGTCGAAGGGGGCAGCAGAAGAAGACGAAGAAGACGAAGAAGAAGAAGAAGAGGAGAAGAAGAAGAAGAAGAAAAAAGAAGAAGCAGATCAAGAAAAAGAAGAAAAAACGAAGAGAAGAACGGTCCCGACAGCCGAGAAGGTCTACATGATTGACTATAATTAGCTCGATCAGGGGAGAGAGAGAGAGAGAGCTAGGCGAACGAAGAGTGAGAGGAGCAGCTTGCAAAATGTGGGTCGCTGAAACCGGCATCTAAGGGGTCTGAATATCGTCGTGAAGTCTTTGGAAAGCTGACTGAAGGACAAAAAAAAAGGGAAATGAAGGTGTGTCCACAGTGGAACAGCACCAATAGCGCTGAGGGTGATAGCGAAACAACGCCAACGACAACAAAGAGATCAGCAGCAACAGGCTGCTGTGGGGACTGCATCGCGACACCCCTCATACAAGACGAATGGTCCAAGACGAAAGCAGACGGCTCATCCTTCATACTCAGCTTTTCAAACAAATCTGAATACATAATAGGGCATCGCTAGTAGTAGCAAAAGGCATCGCTACTAGGAGCAAGAAACTCTTGGTAGCTCTTAGCCTTACTACTAGGAACAAGAAACTACTACTGTAGGGCGTCGCTACTAGGAGCAAGGACGCTGCTAGGGTCTCCTGACCTTACTACTAGGAGCAAGTAGCTACTAGTAACAAGAAGCTGCAATTGTGTCTCAGGTCCCCGCAATATGACAATGATGCAGGTCGTTGAAGCAAGTCCATGGAGTCCACGCAACAGATTGCAACCACCCGTAACCACCACAGACTGCGCTATGTATAATTCTTCGTTCAGTCAACTGAAGTGTTTTCTTTAAGCCAGCTGAGCAAGCTCTGGCAACGCCAAGGAGTCCGCGCACACAACACCTACTGGCAGTTTTCATCACAGTTTCACAATACATGGCATACGTAGTGTTTTCTCTCATAAAAGAACCACATGAAGTTGATTTTTGGGGCAACCCACATTCTTCAAAAGTGCACACTATCGACGATATGTGCCCAAACCCTAACCAAAGGAACCGGCCACCTCCATGGTTGGCACAGGTTCTCTCACTTGCGTCAAGCTGGTTCTAAGGAACAGGAATCAGTGAATTTGATACTGTGACACCGTGGCGCGAGTAAGTGCTTGTTGATTTCTGAAAGGGGCGATGCCGAGCAACGCCATTTGCCCCCTCCCCAGTATGAAGTTCCATTTTTGACAGCTTGGTCGATACAAGTTGGAAACCTTGGAAGCTCTCCGAACACTTTCGCTCAATGCCTTGATGTTGGGTAGCTTGAACTTCAGGTTAGCAAAGACCTCACCAGCCTCCAAGAAGAGTTCTGGCGGGGCAGGGAAGCCACCTCCACCAAAACCAGAGGTCTGTGCCACAGATTCAGAAGGATGACGGAAAAGGAAACATATGAGCGCATCCAAGCATTTGGTATCAGAAGTCACGGATCTCCACTCATGATAGTCATGCAAAGATGTTGCCCATGTGGCATATTCCAGCCTGCCCACAGGACCCAGGCTTGCCTCCCTTGGTGCCGAAGGACAAACTGACCAGTTCTGCGTCAACTGCTCAATGGCTGGACGGTTCTTTATGTTGAAGGGGCTGTCACCATGTTAATGAAGACCGTCAAGCTTCTATGTAGAGGGCACAAATGATAGTTTCACAGTCTCACTGATTGTTTCACTCCAATCTAAAGTTGCCTTGTCCTGTAAAGGAACTCACTGAAGAGACGAAGCAGGCTGTTAATACCTCCGCGCATTATTTCCTTTCAGATGCAAGTCGCTGTGATCCAGTTAGCGCTCGCTCATCTTTTGTTATAGCTCTCATATAGTTTGAGGTACAATTGCGCATATTCGCATATTCTTTCAAACTTGCTTTTCCTTCAACTTCCATCACCCTGGCTGCTAGCTTATATCAGGCATCCTTGCAACCATTCTTCATTCTGCCGGTGGATCCTTTGCCCTCACGCATGGCAACGAGCGCTATATGCATGTGACAAACAGCATATGACCGGACAGGCATTCAGATACATTCAACTTCAACTTTCTGGCAGGCAGTGAATGCCATTGATGCTTTGTTGAACCGCAAGAAGCGACCTTTGAGGCAAGCTTGGAGCAACCCCAAAGCCCAGAAGCTTCGAGCTGGAACAAAAATAGTTCACAATTGACATCATCAGGTGCAAAATTATAAACTATTGTGATATATACTTCATCGCATTTCCGAATTTCCTAATTTTCTGTGATATCAGAAGGATGAAGGGCATTGGCGCATGTTGCGACTCTTTCCTCCCGGCAGTAGAAAACGGTTGAACAGGCAGTCCTTGGAGGAAGCTCTTGACACGCGGCACAGTCTGGTGGCTGCTGACACCAATGATGAAGGTGCCAATGGCCTTACATACACTTATCTATATATATACTTACACATATGTATATATGTACAAAAACTAGACGACGGTTGGCCCGAGAGCGAGAAAGGTGATTGTCAAGCAATTCCGAGTAAAATCGAGTTGTCCAAGAGCCATGACTTCTTTGTACAATCTATTATTGAGTAAGAAGTTGCGAAGAAATTAGATTTAGCGTATTAAGAGAAAAGATATGTAGAAAGAGAGAAAGAGAGGGCGGATGTGAAGGAGTGACAGTGTGGATGCGCAGGTGCGCCAACCTTGGTGCATTTCTCGCTGTGCAAGCACAACGCTGAAGAGGTTCGAATCAAACTGATATATAGCGCACCAGCTTGGCGCTCCCCAGTGGCACGGCGCCACGCAAACGCACTTTCCACCAAGACCTCGCAAATCCGCATGGCGCTGCGACATCGCGGAAAATTCGCCACACGGTCTGCCCACACACTAGAAGCAACCCTATCACACGATACCGCCAATCATCCCGCTCACCAGCGACGCTCCACGTTTACGCCAGCATGTTTCGCGCTCCCCAGTGGCACGGCGCCGCGCAAACGCACTTCCCACCAAGGCCGCGCAAATCCGCATGACGCTGCGACATCACGGACGTAATTTCGCCGCACGGTCCGCCCACGCACTAGAAGCAATCCTATCGTCCGATACCGCCTTAATCATCCCGCTCACCAGCGACACGCTGCGTTTTAGATGAGACGTAGTTCTACGCTATCTCCTGCTCTACCTCCTCGTGGTCTTAGCGGACATCTGGCTCTTCAGCTGGATGTGCGAAAAGAGCAGGTGGTGCTACCAATGGAACTTGCGTGGTCGTTCATGGAGTTCCGTTCTGATCATCTCCATTTTGATCTTCTCTTTGCTCATCCCTAAGCATTTTGTCATTTTGCTGTGTGTTTTCACACTTGCATTTGCTTGGTGATTTTCCGATGTTGCGTGTGCATTTTTGTTCAAAAAAAAAGAGACGGAGAGCCTATAGCTGCATTCGGGTTGGCAAACGTCGCAAAAGGCGACGAAAACGACTTCTTTGTGGCATAGCGCTAATTGGCACTTTCTCCACATTTACGATGTTTGGTCTGATGTGGTCCTCACGCCTGGTTCCTTGCATGGCTGTTCCTTTGCCTAGAAGCGTTGACGCTTCCTCGTTGTACAGAGGTGTTGGCGTGGTGGCGCTGCCGGATCGGCCGCTAGTGGCCGCAAGCGCAATGATTTTTCTTGCTGGTCTGAGTACGCTCGTGCAAAGCATGGAGCGCGAAGAGGACGAAGAAGCTGATGCTGAGGAAGATCTCCTGACGGACCTGAAAAATCTTGTCCGCACGAAACCTGGTTGCGCGCTCCCCAGTGGCACGGCGCCACGCAAATGCACTTCCCACCAAGACCTCGCAAATCCGCATGGCGCTGCGACATCACGAACGTATTTCGCCACACGGTCTGCCCACACACTAAGAAGCAATCCTATCACACGATACCGCCAGTCATCCCGCTCACCAGCGACACGCCGCGTTTACATCAGCGTGTTTCGCGCTCCCCAGTGGCACGGCGCCACGCAAACGCACTTTTCACCAAGGCCGCGTAAATCCGCATGGCGCTGCGACATCGCGGAAAATTCGCCACACGGTCT